CTGGTTAGTGGCATTGTGTCTACTGGTTAGTGGGATTGTGTGTACTGGTTAGTGGGATTGCGTCTTCTGGTTAGTGGGATTGCGTCTACTGGTTAGTGGGATTGTGTCTACTGGTTAGTGGGATTGTGTCCACTAGTTAGTGGGATTGCGTTTACTGGTTAGTGGGATTGCGTCTTCTGGTTAGTGGGATTGTGTCTACTAGTTAGTGGGATTGTGTTTACTAGTTAGTGGAATTGCATCTACTGGTTAGTGGGATTGTGTCTACTGGTTATCGGGATTGTGACTACTAGTTAGTGGGATTGTGCTTACTTGTTAGTGGGGATTGTCTACTAGTTAGTGGGATTGTGTCCAGTTGGATTTTGTCTACTGGTTAGTGGGATTGTGACTACTAGTTAGTGGGATTGTTTCAAGTGGGATTGTGTCTACTAGTTACTGGAATTGCGTCTACTGGTTAGTGGGATTGCGTCTACTGGTTAGTGGGATTGTGTCAAGTGGGATTGGGTCTACCGGTTAGTGGTTAATCATGCCGAACCATCTGATGCCAAGTCTTAGTGCCCCTAGATATTCTAGATTATGGCTTGAACCGGCGAAAACTGACATAAAACCTTTCAATATTTGAAGAAATGCATAAAACTGAATATACTGTCATTGTTTTGAAAAGACCATGAGCTATGTGCAGGATTTCTAGTACGTTTCGTCGGATAATCGAGAATAGTCCCTGGCGTTGATGTTTTATATTAGTCAAGTAGCGCATCAAAAGAACATTATCTTACAACGGTCATCAACCCCAACCGGAAGTATCCATGGCCAGATGTTCGGGAGTGACGTCACCCACCGATGGCCGTCAACAAATGGTCTTGTTTCGGTCGGCACGATGCTTGTAACTATGACAATGACTCACTGTGTGCACGTGGGATGCACGCCTCACTGACAGGTATGATAGTGATGCGATGTATGGGATACCCGGGGATTATGCACATTTTACACCGAGTGTGAAATAACTATCTCCTCTCTGCTCCCAGAAGTGCACATGCTTGCTGACACCCATGCCGTATACTGCATATCTCCTTCCTTTGGTGCACGGTGCATATTACGACGTGGAAGGCGTCACCGAACACAATTATATAGCCTGTCATACAGACCCTGAAACAAATATATACAATTCAGTCCATGCAAGTCTATAATGTTTGGCAAGTCTAGACAACTGCAGGGGCGGTCGGGTAGCCTAGTGGTTAAAGCGTTCGCTCGCCACGCCGAAGACCCGGGTTCGATTCCCCACATGGATACAATGTGTGAAGCCCATTTCTGGTGTCCCCCGCCGTGATATTGCTGGAATATTGCTAAAAGCGGCGTAAAATCAAACTCACTCACTCACTAGACCACTGCTGTATCTGAAAATGAAGAACATTTTGGGCTTCTTTTTATTATATTTTATAACTATAGTTTAACAACTGTTTTTTAAAAAATATGTTCATTATAGAGACAATATGTCAGTCTAACAATTATACAGCAAGATTTGTTTGTTCTATATGTTTGCATCTATATGACAACGGTCTGTAAATAATCGAGTCTGGACCAGACAGTCCATTGATTGGTACCATTAACATCGATCCACGCAATTGGGATACGATGACATGTATCAACCAAGTCAGCGAGCCTGACCACCCGATCCCCTTAGTCGCCTTTTACAGCAAACATGGGTTGCTGAAGACCTATTCTAAAACGGATCTTCAAGGGTTTATACAGAAAGATCATTGCCCTGTCGTCATCCTCCATATTATATCCTTGGTTTCCCGGAGCCCCTCCCTACCTTGTCTGTTCCAGTGGCCAGGTGGTGTAGATGTATATGGCTACGCAACTCGATATACAGAGTTACCTCCCTTTACGTCCAGGATCCGCAGGTCTTGGGTTTGATTCCTTGTTATGTCAACATGTTGATCGTCAGTTTCAATTAAATGATACCCGTCTACGGTCTGCGTTGACCTGCATTTATTAACCACTATTTAGCTGATTCGACGTGAAATGATTGAAGTAATGTTTAGAGCAACTCTTTACAATAAGGAAATGACGATGTGGTAACACTTTGTGTTATCTGATACAATGCCTGGTGTACAACATATATGGTCAGGCTCGCTGACTTGGTTGGTGCATGTCATCTATCCCAACTGCGTGGATCGATGCTTATAATGGCAATCACTGTATTGTCTGGTTCAGACTCGATTATTTACAGACCGCCGTGATAGAGCGGGGATATTGCTGAGTGCGGCGTTAAACAACAAACAGGCTGTATTGGACTAGGTCAGGTAGGACCCGGAGGATTTCTAGCTGGCGAGGTGTCACTGTATGTGAATCTAGCATTAAAAATGATACCGAAAACCGTTGTCAACACTCGATTCCATATTCGAAGGAAGATTCTGTGTGTCATTTGGCACCCTGAAAGAACAGACACCATCATTGTAGACGGGAGTTTGCAGAATCTAGTTATCCTCAACACAACGATGTGTCAATTAATGACGAGTCAAGTCGACACTTAAACTCCCGCTCTTGTTATTAACCTTAAACAACAAGACGCACTTTGCTTTCATACCCCCAACAAACTCTACAAATCAGCAACACATGGCTCCTGTATCTTCTTGCTGTGTTTGTACAGCGATTAGTTGCGTCGATTGCTGGACGCCGCCCCCCTTCTGAGATTCTAGCACCCCATTACATTGTTATCTGTGTATCAGTTCCCCCGACCCCGATGTCTGGAGAGGGCGTGAGGCTGTCAGCGTGAATGTCGGTTTTTAATGCAACTGTTAGATGCAAATCTCTTC